TTCTTCTACTGTATTAAAGATTTTCGTTTTACTCCTTCTTCTTCGGTGCGTCCAAACTCTCCGCCGCCTCCTTCGCGCGCTTCGCCCTCTTGCCCACCAGTCGGGCGTTAGAGCGCGCCTTCCGCAGTGAATGGAAGGCCGCGAACTTCCGCTCCTCTTCCGTCGGCGCGCGCGCCCTCTCGCTCTTCACGTACGCCTTCCCGCGACGCACCGGCAGAAGAGTGCCGACCAATTGGTGCGCCAACTTCTGCTCCTCCGCTGACGCGTCGCCCTTTCGCGGCTTCTTCGCGCGGATCGGGAACACCACCAGTCTGTAGAGAACAGGCGTTAGTCACACTTCCGCTCGAAATCCCTTTCCTCCCGTTCCTCACCTCGACTTGTATTGTTTCAATCGCTGCACATTTCGCTGCAAACTCTCGACCGATCGGTTCACTCTTCGGTGGTCGACCGCAATGCCGATCGCTGTTCAGAGACAAACACACATTAGTACACGACTCTCACCTCCCGTTCCCCCCTTCACTCACTGGGCGCCTCCCTGCGCGCGATGCCGGCCGCCTTCAACTCCTCCAACGAGAAGCCTCTTCCCAACCGAACCTTTGAGTTGTATTTAACTGACGGACAGTTGACGACAGGTCTGAGTCTTTGCGTGGGTCTCGGGGCGATTCGCGCGGCTTTGGCCACTCGTGTGGCGTGTCTGCGCTTCTTGCGCATCGGCTGCGCGAACCACGTCTTGACAAAGCGCTGCCAATCCTTACGGAAGTGTCCGTTTGGAATCATTCCCATCCGTTTTGCCGGCATTTCTGCGTTTGTTGTCTGAAGAGAACTCTCTTCGCAATCAAATGTGAGTTCAAAAGGAAGCGGATGTCGACAACACTTCACTACTCTATTGCAATGGAGCGAACGTTTGAGCCCTTTGTATGCGTGAACAGCACTGCATTCGAGCGACAAAAGCGCCAAAAGTGCGAAATGAGACACAAATGACGTCAAAAAACAAATTTATTGAAATGAAGGGAAAAAAGGAGAGAAATGACGAAATCTATGAACAGTCCGAAGATCAGTTGATT